TGGCACAGTTTAATGATCCTGTGTACCTACCCTCGCAGTGGTACAGTTTAATGATCCTACGTACCTACCCTCGCAGTGGTACAGTTTAATGATCCTGCGTACCTACCCTCGCAGTGGTACAGTTTAATGATCCTGCGTACCTACCCTCGCAGTGGTACAGTTTAATGATCCTGTGTACCTACCCTCGCAGTGGTACAGTTTAATGATCCTGCGTACCTACCCTCGCAGTGGTACAGTTTAATGATCCTGCGTACCTACCCTCGCAGTGGTACAGTTTAATGATCCTGCGTACCTATCCTCGCAGTGGTACAGTTTAATGATCCTGCGTACCTACCCTCGCAGTGGTACAGTTTAATGATCCTACGTACCTACCCTCGCAGTGGTACAGTTTAATGATCCTGCGTACCTACCCTCGCAGTGGTACAGTTTAATGATCCTGTGTACCTACCCTCGCAGTAGTACAGTTTAATGATCCTGCGTACCTACCCTCGCAGTGGTACAGTTTAATGATCCTGCGTACCTACCCTCGCAGTGGTACAGTTTAATGATCCTGCGTACCTACCCTCGCAGTGGTACAGTTTAATGATCCTGCGTACCTACCCTCGCAGTGGTACAGTTTAATGATCCTGCGTACCTACCCTCGCAGTGGTACAGTTTAATGATCCTGCGTACCTACCCTCGCAGTGGTAAAAGTTTAATGATCCTGCGTACCTACCCTCGCAGTGGTACAGTTTAATGATCCTGCGTACCTACCCTCGCAGTGGTACAGTTTAATGATCCTGCGTACCTACCCTCGCAGTGGTACAGTTTAATGGTCCTGCGTACCTACCCTCGCAGTGGTACAGTTTAATGATCCTGCGCACCTACCCTCGCAGTGGTACAGTTTAATGATCCTGCGCACCTACCCTCGCAGTGGTACAGTTTAATGGTCCTGCGTACCTACCCTCGCAGTGGTACAGTTTAATGATCCTGCGTACCTACCCTCGCAGTGGTACAGTTTAATGGTCCTGCGTACCTACCCTCGCAGTGGTACAGTTTAATGATCCTGCGCACCTACCCTCGCAGTGGTACAGTTTAATGATCCTGCGCACCTACCCTCGCAGTGGTACAGTTTTAATGGTCCTGCGTACCTACCCTCGCAGTGGTACAGTTTAATGATCCTGCGACCTACCCTCGCAGTGGTACAGTTTAATGTCCTGCGTACCTACCCTCGCAGTGGTACAGTTTAATGATCCTGCGCACCTACCCTCGCAGTGGTACAGTTTAATGATCCTCGACCTACCCTCGCAGTGGTACAGTTTAATGATCCTGCGCACCTACCCTCGCAGTGGTACAGTTTAATGATCCTGCGCACCTACCCTCGCAGTGGTACAGTTTAATGGTCCTGCGTACCTACCCTCGCAGTGGTACAGTTTTAGAATCTACTACCTTGATGTACTAGTTCATGAACGAATTTCTTCCTCCATTTATTCAGTTTCTCTTTACTATTGCTGGTAGTTTATTCTCTTTTTTGTATCAACCTCCCTTGTTAGTTACATGACTGGCGCGGAGTCCATTTCTTCTGTGATCATTCTAATATCCAAAAGCGTACCTGCCCTATACCGCCTTGTGGAACGCTAAATGTTACCACCCCGATGCTGACAAGTATTCCTGACAAACTAGCTTTATTTTTGACTTCCTTTCTATAAGTGTTCTTTGAAGTATCGTTGGCCTCCTCCTATTATTTCCTGCTTACTCCTCGTACTGGCACGGTCTGATGTGCACTCCGTACAAACGCCTCCCTGTAGTAAGTTCGCCTATCCCTCTTTCTGACTTCCTATGTTACACTGTCAATGGAATTCCAACAGGTCTGGACAGATTTGCTACGTTGTGTGACCACTGGGATGTTGTTTTAGTCATATTCTCCATGTTCCTTTCATACTACTTCTGTTATCTTCTCCATTACTTATTACATTAATATGCATGTCAGTGGAGATTTGCCCTGGGCGTTTTAAACGTGCTGTTACTCCTTAACCTATTGGGATTACATTTGCTGTCTTTCACAACTCTATCAATTACTCTGTATTCATTGACTTGTAGGTTTTAACTGGGGGTTTCACAATGTTCCAGGTTCTTCTCTTAAATCCAACGGTGACACATTGTCACATTCCATTTTTTTTATTTGTATTTTAGCTAACTCAGAAGTTTTTTTTTTTTTTTAGCTCCTATTGTGTTGTGTGTGTAGGGTCCAGTACCTCTTATTGTACCTTTTTTTTATATCTTGTGTTTCTTTATTGTGAACTCTCCTTCCTGTTTACAGAATTGTTTCCCTGACTTTATTTTGTCTTGTTTTCCAATTGTGACGGTGTAAACGTTTTGGTTAATACCTTACTTTTGCTGCTCTTTTTTTTCTGCTGTCCATTGCCTTCTGTTTCTGTGTCCATTGCTTTCTATGCTTTTCCACATCTGCTTTGTACCCTGACGCACCTTTGGGCAAACCACAGGCTCTTTTGTTGCCATTTCGTCCACATCTTCTGTGTGTGAATTCTTCCTCCTGCAACTTCAGACACTTTGCAGCTAAGTTCTCCATTCTCTCATTATTTTTCCCAATGTACTTCATTCAGTAACTCTGTCATCCCTGCAGATTTCCTCTCCTGTGCTCTGGTTTCTTACTTTCCTCACCTAATATGCTTCTTTCGAAGTTTTCTTCCACAAGTTATTCGAAATTAATGTTGCATGGTTGTTAGCACCCAGAAGCCTCTCATAGTTTAATTTACCTGCATCAGATGTGTTTATCGTGAATATTAAGTTCATCCTTGCTAGTTCATATTCTTTCTTTGTTGTTGTATGCCTAATATGAAGTCACAAAATATTCCATCGCTGTTGCCATCATCTCAACTCTCCACGTTACCAGTCCTTCATATGACTCCCAATTCTCCCGCTATATTTTTCATGGTTAAGATATTGAATGGTCAGTAGCGCTGCTGTGGCTGTATTGGTTCTTCTTACTGATTTCCGTATGGTGTCAACAACTGCTGTGAAGCATTCATGTTTCTTAGTCTACTACTGTTTGGTTATTGTTTATAAATTACCGCTACTACTGTATTGAGTTTCCTAGTCATGATTATACCAACTATATAGTTATTTGACTCACCTTCGTTTATCCCTCTCATCTCAAGACTCTACTGGTTTCTGATTAGCAATGCTACTTCTTCCTATCCCCTGTTTCTTTCTTTCCTCAGTACTTGATGGCTTGCTGGCAAATATTGCACCTGGTATCATTTCAGCAAGCTCAGTCAGCTTCATCTCAGTGAGAACTATAAAGTCTGGGTTGATCTTTGCTATTGGCACTCGTGATTGATATTTTGCCTGTTTTTGTGAACCATGAAATTATTTTTTTCTTATCTTATGTTCTAATTTCCAGTGTTGGTAGCCTATTCTATATGATATTTAATGATAATTACATAATGCGAAATAAATTAGCTGTTCCCTTGTCGAGTATCATTACACAAGATGGGTTTCAAACATAGTGTTGAAATCTGTCAGCTTGACCTGAGAGACTACAAGAAGGTAATAAGGATGTCAAGAATTCCATTAAGGGTTTATCAGCTACAACATCAAAGGTTTAGTGACAGCAGAGCTGGAGTTACTATTACTTGGGAATAACCATTTTTCATGATGGCCCCTTCCATACACAGGAGAAATGGAGGTATTGTGAAGCTATCTCTATCATCACAGAGCAACAAAGATTATATATATATATATATATATATATATATATATATATATATATATATATATATATATATATATATATATATATATATATATATATATATATATAGTGCAAAAGATTTAAAAGATACATTGCTGGTACAAAGATGGCATATAGAGTACATGAGGTTTGAGGGATACATTTCAAGTATATATTGCTACGTGTTTGTCACAGACTACATTGTGAGACTCTCACCGAGCTCCTCAGAGCTGAGGCGCATACCCAGGATACAGCAGGGCATTACACCTGTCAACCGCAGTGCTGAGTCGCTAGAATAGAAAACTAGCCGTCCTAGGATCCATAGGTACCTTGATGGGTCTTTTGCCTAGCTCCTTAATGAACTTAGATGCATACTTTCCCCATGGGCCAAGGGTCTCTGAACCTGTGGGAACAAACATAATGACGGCCATGCTCACAATATTTTCTAGATTTTTGGGACTCCCTGAAGCTGGCAGCTGCCCCTCATTTCTCCCTGGTGTACCGGAGATAGGTATCAGTTAGTGTGGATGCACATATGTAATCCCACACCACCTGCTTGCCTTCAGATCTGCATAGTTGAGATGGCTCCCTTACTACTGGCATCCAGCTGATGATGTTATTAACCTCTTCATGGCTTGCAGTTTTTCCCTGGGATCTACTGTAAACAAGATCATGGTTCCGAAATCGGTCTGTCGATTCACTGCCGCAAACACACTTGTGTTCGGCGAGAATAGGGGCGGTAAGGCGAAGAACACCAATGTAGATGGTCTGTGGGTAGAGGTGTGTGCCAAGGGAGGAGTTAGGGGACAGCCAGCAGGAAATCCCTTGAATGATGGGCTCTCACTGCTAGGAGGCCCGCTTTGTTCTTTCCCAATGCACTCTGAAGCATTGTTGAGGCTATATTCTCCACTACTGGGCCATGTGGTTTGGGGATGGGGGGGTTGAAGCAGGCCTGGTTTCAGAGCTTGTTAGATTATCCCAGAGCCTGGCATTAATTATTATGTTAGGAGTCGCTGATGAAATATTAATTTTTTGAAGAAGGAAGACGTGGAACGCCAGGAAACACAGGGGACATAATGTAAGGTTACCTTAAGAAGAAAGGTGATACCGGCTGAGAATGCCAGGAAAATGCTGTGTACCCGATGATGTTTCGTCATTCATATGGCTGCAACATGCAGGTATGAACGCTGTGATCGTACGGCCGCCACCTGCAGAGCGGTGATCGTACAGCCACCACCTGTCGTTTCTATAAATACAACAAGTGGGAGCTGCCGGGAGATCAGTTTAGTTCCGGTCGTGGAGGAAGAGTGTACAGTGTTACCTTCCCTGTGATATTTTTATCTATTTTTTTTCTTCCCTCTCATCGTAAACCGAATCGTAAGTATTTTCCAACATTATGAAATATTATTTTATTTAACATCGAACAGATGAGCGGCCAAACAGGTGGATTAAGATCATATACACGAGGATTTTCATACCCCGAGGACTGGGAGGTAATTGTGTTTGATCCTAGGAAGGGGAGGGGTAACTGCAGTTCCTTGGATCACGAGCCCATAACTAGCATCAAGATGGTAGCTAACCGTTGATGGGGAAACTGAAGAGGAGAAAGTGAAAGTGGGAGCATCCATGGGTGGTGACGTCACAGGCGCAGCCGCCGCCTTCACTCAATACTTCTTAAGAAATGTAAGAAAACCAAGACTTTTAAAAACTTCACTCACCGTTACCCATTACTCGCACTCTTGACCAGTGTTACCCATCACTCAGCCAATGTTACCCATCACTCAGCCAATGTTACTCATCACTCAACGAATGTTACCCATCCCTCAACGAATGTTACCCATCCCTCAACGAATGTTACCCATCACTCAACGAATGTTACCCATCACTCAACGAATGTTACCCATCACTCAACGAATGTTACCCATCACTCAACGAATGTTACCCATCATTCAACGAATGTTACCCATCACTCAACGAATGTTACCCATCACTCAACGAATGTTACCCATCATTCAACGAATGTTACCCATCACTCAACGAATGTTACCCATCACTCAACGAATGTTACCCATCACTCAACGAATGTTACCCATCACTCAACGAATGTTACCCATCACTCAACGAATGTTACCCATCATTCAACGAATGTTACCCATCACTCAACGAATGTTACCCATCACTCAACGAATGTTACCCATCATTCAACGAATGTTACCCATCACTCAACGAATGTTACCCATCACTCAACGAATGTTACCCATCACTCAACGAATGTTACCCATCATTCAACGAATGTTACCCATCACTCAACGAATGTTACCCATCACTCAACGAATGTTACCCATCACTCAACGAATGTTACCCATCACTCAACGAATGTTACCCATCACTCAACGAATGTTACCCATCATTCAACGAATGTTACCCATCACTCAACGAATGTTACCCATCACTCAACGAATGTTACCCATCACTCAGCCAATGTTACTCATCACTCTCACTCAGCGAATTATCTTCACTTAAAAAATGATGTTTGCTACTTAAAATTAATACGTTATTTTACATATATTGAAAAAATATCTTTTAGTTAAAATATTTTGTTTTCAAACACGTGCATAAATAATATTATATATATATATATATATATATATATATATATATATATATATATATATATATATATATATATATATATATAATATATATATATATATAAATATATATATTATAAACCAAGATAAAGCATTGAAAAACTACAAAAATTAAATGAATTAATAAGGATGGACGGTGATTCGAACCATGGTCCCTGGGAGTGGCAGGCCCACCATGGTCCCTGGGAGTGGCAGGCCCACCATGGTCCCTGGGAGTGGCAGGCCCACCATGGTCCCTGGGAGTGGCAGGCCCACCATGGTCCCTGGGAGTGGCAGGCCCACCATGGTCCCTGGGAGTGGCAGGCCCACCATGGTCCCTGGGAGTGGCAGGCCCAGCATGGTGCCTGGGAGTGGCAGGCCCAGCATGGTCCCTGGGAGTGGCAGGCCCAGCATGGTGCCTGGGAGTGGCAGGCCCAGCATGGTGCCTGGGAGTAGCAGGCCCAGCATGGTGCCTGGGAGTGGCAGGCCCACCATGGTCCCTGGGAGTGGCAGGCCCACCATGGTCCCTGGGAGTGGCAGGGCCCACCATGGTCCTGGGAGTGGCAGGCCCACCATGGTCCCTGGGAGTGGCAGGCCCACCATGGTCCCTGGGAGTAGCAGGCCCAGTATGGTGCCTGGGAGTGGCAGGCCCAGCATGGTCCCTGGGAGTAGCAGGCCCAGTATGGTGCCTGGGAGTGGCAGGCCCAGCATGGTCCCTGGGAGTGGCAGGCCCAGCATGGTGCCTGGGAGTGGCAGGCCCACCATGGTCCCTGGGAGTGGCAGGCCCAGCATGGTCCCTGGGAGTGGCAGGCCCAGCATGGTGCCTGGGAGTGGCAGGCCCACCATGGTCCCTGGGAGTGGCAGGCCCACCATGGTCCCTGGGAGTGCAGGCCCACCATGGTCCCTGGAGTGGCAGGCCCCACCATGGTCCCTGGGAGTGGCATGGCCCCACCATGGTCCCTGGGAGTAGCAGGCCCAGTATGGTGCCTGGGAGTGGCAGGCCCAGCATGGTCCCTGGGAGTAGCAGGCCCACCATGGTGCCTGGGAGTGGCAGGCCCACCATGGTCCCTGGGAGTGGCAGGCCCACCATGGTCCCTGGGAGTGGCAGGCCCAGCATGGTCCCTGGGAGTGGCAGGCCCACCATGGTCCCTGGGAGTAGCAGGCCCAGTATGGTGACTGGGAGTGGCAGGCCCAGCATGGTCCCTGGGAGTAGCAGGCCCACCATGGTGCCTGGGAGTGGCAGGCCCAGCATGGTGCCTGGGAGTGGCAGGCCCAGCATGGTCCCTGGGAGTAGCAGGCCCAGCATGGTGCCTGTGAGTGGCAGGCCCAGCATGGTGCCTGGGAGTGGCAGGCCCAGCATGGTCCCTGGGAGTAGCAGGCCCAGCATGGTGCCTGGGAGTGGCAGGCCCAGCATGGTGCCTGGGAGTGGCAGGCCCAGCATGGTCCCTGGGAGTAGCAGGCCCAGCATGGTGCCTGGGAGTGGCAGGCCCAGCATGGTGCCTGGGAGTGGCAGGCCCAGCATGGTGCCTGGGAGTGGCAGGCCCAGCATGGTGCCTGGGAGTGGCAGGCCCAGCATGGTGCCTGGGAGTGGCAGGCCCAGTACTGTAACCATTCAGCCACTAAAGTTGCATTAGGATGATTCTACAACCTGCACTTGTGTGACATGGTTGTATGTGTCGCCGCTAGTAGTGGCACTGCTGTCTTACCCCCCTCATCCCCCCACAGCTTCCATGGCACTTTCTGTCATACCCCTCAGAGCAATATAGTCTTTAAGCCCAAATTGTAATGAACAGCTGTCATTGAATGAACTAGGGAATGGATGAGGGACTCGAAACATGGTCCATGCGAGCAACAGGCTCAGCGCTGTGATCGGAGTAATAAGGGTTGTAATATGATGATTTTTACATCTAAAATAGAAAAAGTCGACTGGCCACATGTACTACCTCACAAGTTGCCTTGCCAGCCCCCTTATCCTCAAGTGGATCAATCAGACTGGTGGGGGAAATATCATCAGAACATATATATAATCTGGCAGGGCGGATGACCCCCAATAACTAAAGGAAGCGTGTGAGATAACCTTCCTTGAACGCTGGCAAAAAGACCAGCTGAAACTGTCTCGCTAACAATTCATTTGGGACAGTCCCTTCAGGGAAAAGGCTGCTACGGGTATGTTAGAAAGTGCAAGCTCTCCTGGAGAGATAGCTCACTTTTTAGCTGCGAGTGTACATCCTTTGGTTGACTTTCTCCTAACAGTTTGGATCTTTGCAGCTCGCTCACGTCTTAACCCCCAGACCCTTCGTAGTGAAGTGGCTCTCCACCTTGTTGAACATATTCACACTCAGCACAAGTGTATTTGTAGAATGAGACACCTGTGCAACATATGGGAATCTTTATTGGTAGTATTGTTCAAATAATGGCATCACCATCGTTTGTCGTGAAAATATCACGTCATCACTATCCCTCACTCTCTCCTTCACTACAACGAGATGCATCAAACTGTAAACACCTCCAGCATCCATCTCTCACTCTCCTCTTCACTACAACGAGATGCCTCGCATTGTAAACACCTCCAGCATCCATCTCTCACTCTCCTCTTCATTATAACGAGATGCATCACATTGTAAACACCTCCAGCATCCATCTCTCACGCTCCCCTTCACTACAACGAGATGCATCACATTGTAAACAACCTCCAGCATCCATCTCTCACGCTCCCCTTCACTACAACGAGATGCATCACATTGTAAACACCTCCAGCATCCATCTCTCACGCTCCCCTTCACTACAACGAGATGCATCACATTGTAAACACCTCCAGCATCTATCTCTCACGCTCCCTTCACTACACGAGATGAATCACATTGTAAAAACCTCCAGCATCCATCTCTCACGCTCCCCTTCACTACAACGAGATGCATCACATTGTAAACACCTCCTGCATCCATCTCTCACGCTCCCTTCACTACAACGAGATGAATCACATTGTAAACACCTTCCAGCATCTATTCTCACCTCCTTCACTACAACGAGATTGCATCACATTGTAAACACCCAGCATCCATCTCTCACGCTCCCCTTCACTACAACGAGATGAATCACATTGTAAACACCTCCAGCATCCATCTCTCACGCTCCCCTTCACTACAACGAGATGCATCACATTGTAAACACCTCCAGCATCCATCTCTCACGCTCCCTTCACTACAACGAGATGCATCAATTGTAAACACCTCCAGCATCCATATCTCACGCTCCCTTCACTACAACGAGATGAATCACATTGTAAACACCTCCAGCATCTATCTCTCACTCTCCTTCACTACAACGAGATGCATCACATTGTAAACACCTCCAGCATCCATCTCTCACGCTCCCCTTCACTACAACGAGATGCATCACATTGTAAACACCTCCAGCATCCATCTCTCACGCTCCCCTTCACTACAACGAGATGCATCACATTGTAAACACCTCCAGCATCCATCTCTCACGCTCCCCTTCACAAAACAACGAGATGCATCACATTGTAAACACCTCCAGCATCCATCTCTCACGCTCCCCTTCACTACAACGAGATGAATCACATTGTAAACACCTCCAGCATCTATCTCTCACTCTCCTTCACTACAACGAGATGCATCACATTGTAAACACCTCCAGCATCTATCTCTCAATCTCTCCTTCACTACAACGAGATGCATCACATTGTAAACACCTCCAGCATCCATCTCTCACTCTCTCCTTCAC